AGAGAGAGAGAGAGAGAGAGAGAGAGGGCAGCAGTACGAAGGAGCTGAAGGGGGAAGAGGAGGGGGAGGTGGAAGAAGACGAGGTGGTGGTGGCGTAACTCCGACAGTTTCAAGGATGTGGTTCATTCGTCGTGGCGGGGCGTTAATGGGGCGAGCAGCCAATGGCACGACTTTGTGCATGCATGGACAAGTGTACACGTGTAGAGGTGCCGAGAGCGACAGAGGTGAGCAGTGCGGCAAGGCAGGAGCAACAGAGATGGGCGCGTGCACGCGCGCGCGCGCGCGCGCGCACGCGAGAGAGAGAGAGAGAGAGAGAGAGAGAGAGAGAGAGAGAGGTGGAAGAAGGGGAGGAACACTCACCTTTGGCAACGTTCTAGGACGTCGAAGGTGGCGGCAGGTCGCAGTACCAGAAGAATGAACTCCGCAGTGAATTGAAGCAGTGGACACAACGTGGAGTGGAGCCCTGTTGTTTTGCGCGGAGGCCCGGAAAATCAAGGAGTTTGAATTCGAAAATGGGACCGGCCTACCGGTAGGGGCATTCCGAAAAGTTGTGCCCCTCACTGACAGCCTGACAGGGGCCTTTTCGAAAGTTCAGAGGCCCCAGGGGCAAATCAGGGTAAGTCGGCCGTCGGAGGGGTGAATCGCAAATAAACGCAAACTTCAGGCGATGGTAAGAGAATCGTCTGGATTGAGGGCTTATCTGTTAAGCTGCTCCATCTATTGGTGGGGAGCGACACCCGCTGGAAACCGGGTCGAGCGTCCCATTTAAAATAGCATGACTCATGGGGATTGTTATCTGTTGTTTCTGTGGCTGCGGCCCTATCTGTTAACTACCCGGGGCTCTAAATGTCCCATGGAGCTGCCAGTAAAACCCAACCCATCTAAGAGCCCTTTTTATGACTGATCTTCCCGTGAGAGTACAATAAAGAAAATGGAGTGCGACCCAGGCTCGGCAAAACTCGGACCGCAGTGAAATTCAGGGTCCACAAAAACAGGCTCGGAGGTACTAGTGGTTTAAGGTAAAAAAACTTCAAAACTTCAAAAAAGGCATACTGCATTGTTCTTTTTTTTTTTCCAAAACCCGCTCCCAACCTATCGGTGGTGGGGAGTTTCACCTGCCGGAAACTGGGTGATGCAAACCAACCACATGGAATATCTAGTCCACCACCAGTTCCCGCCAGGCTACCTTCCAAGGGTAACGGGCCTCGGACTGGGCCTTTTCAAAGTGGCCTGCCACGGTCACTACCGGACCAGGCCTGAATCGAAAAGCTATTACCACATATAAACCGGTAAGAGTCCTACTTTGCTTTGGGTGAAGTGGCAGTCGGCGACGTGCTGGGATGAACAGGCCTGGGGTGCTGGCATAAATTCATTCAAGTAGAAACGCCGTGGCACTGTAGCAATGGCTGGCCGCATGCATGCCACAACTTTCCGAAGCACTGGTAGTTTACGAGAAAAGGGGGGGAAGAAAAAAGAGTTGTTTACTTCCAATTCGGATGCCGGACCCGTTTCCATACCGTGCAGCTCCCCACCAATGGACTGGAGCCATCACAACTCTACAAGACCTCTTTTTTTTTTTTTTACTGAAAGGCCCTTGTGCAAGGCCTCTATCCCAGTGGTGGTAACAGAACCACCGGGATTGAGGCTTTGCCTAATGGGCTGCTCCGTCTATTAGTGGGGAGCTTCACCTGCTGGAAACCGGGTCCAGCATCCCATAAATACATCCTTGAGTGCATCAATGCTTGTATGTCATCATTTGGAGCTCTTGGGGCCCTGCCAGCATTGATTGCCCTGGGTAGCAGGGGATTGACTGTGCAGGGTTTATTTCCTTAGGAGAAACTTAAGGTATTATTTCCTTAGGAGAAACTTAGTCGTCGGTAGCCTGGGAGGAGAAAACAGATTGTCATCTTGGGCCCGGCGGGCACCGGGAATCCTGGCTATCCCCCTGACTTCCAATTGTCTCCAGTTGAATGTGACCGATTCTCAATTAGAAACGCTCCCGCCAGTGTTAGTGGTGCTGATAAGAGCAGACACCACTAGCCCCTGGGGAGAGGCTCCATCTATTGGTGGGGAGCATCACCTGCTGGAAAATGGGTCCAGCGTCTCATATACAAACTGAATTTGGAGTATATCAAAACAGGATTGCGTGAGGTTCCTGCCAGCATTGATTACCCTAGGATCCAGCGGATTGTCTGAGCAGGCTATTGGAGAGAGGGGGGAACCTCTTCGCCCTGAAACCGGCACCAGATCCCTGCTGCTACACACTAGTTCCTCCCTCCCCCTACCAATGAATCCTTTGGAATCCAGGGTGGTAACTGAGCAGGAAATCAGACAGTTGAAAATTTGTTCTCATCCTACATACATGGTTGACCACTTTTAGGCACCCACATACCAATGAGTCTCGACCACTGAGTTCGCTGGCGGCGGGAAGAGATCAGGAAAGTCTGAGAGAGGCCGCAACGGGATGGAGGGGTCAGTTCTAGTCCAATCATGAAAATGGAGGTGGTAGTCCCTTTCCAACTTTTCCTCAATCCCTCCCTCCCCTCCCTCCCCCCTTTTCCACGACCACCGCCACTCATCGGGATCGAAGGGAAGGTCCTCAATCGGGGCCAACGGCCTATAAGCCCTCCAACCTCTCTCCTCTTCTATCCCTCTAATGCGATAGACCTCCCTTCTCTCTTTCCAGATAAAAGGTGTCGGCTTCTCGTAGCTGGTCTTTCCCTGTGGAGGCAAAACATTCGATCAGCACTTGCGGTTGGTCTACCATATGCACACGACCTACTTGTGCTCCATGACCGGGTAGTCCTACCCAGTCCCCTTCCTCTAAGCAAGGGCCCTTTCTAAAAGTGGTGTACCATTGAAAGGGAAAACTTTCAATGAGATCTTCTATTGCTGACTCTATTAAGTGGCAATGCCGCAAGCATCCTCGCATTCTTTCTGCATTCTTTCTGCACTCTTTCATTCCCCAGCAGCCGCATCCCAGAGGTCCCCCAACCTCCGGACCCCGTGCTTCACCCAACCCCTCCATGGGGGGTCTGAGCTGCATCTCACCCGGTCGAGGGAGTCCGTGATTAGTCGATTACCAAACAAGGGTTGCCTAAACACTTCCTCCCACCTTTCCGGTAGCGAGCGGTCGGGGATTGGGAGTTTTCTCCATGTTTGAAGGAGGCGTAACCAATGCTCATCCACCGGGTCACCAACTCTACAGGACCTCAATTTGCAGTGCGCTCCCATCATCCCTCCGCATTCTTATGCACCAGGTCATCTTTCTTCTTCCTTCTTCAAACATGAAATCTGCACTCTTCTTCTTCTTCTTCTTCTTCTTCTTCTTCTTCTTCTTCCTTGTCTTCTTCTTCTTCTTCTTCTTCTTCTTCTTCTTCTCCCAAAACATTCTCCAATCCATTCGTTGGGGAGCTTCACCTGCAGGAAACCTGGTGGGACAAGCCTCAAAACTCTTTCGTCCATAGGGATGTTGTCTACCCTCAGAAGAGTTTCCAGCCCATGCCTGTGAAAACTTCCAAGGTGCCTGCTCAATCAATCTTTTCATTCAAGTAGTGTCATTCTCAAGGCAGTCCTTGTCTGAGAGTTACGACGAGCACCAAATCTCAGATTCAAAGAGTTCTAAATTTTCGTTTTTTTTTTCTTTTTTTTTTTTTTCTTTTTTTTCAGAAAACAACCCGAGTGGATGCTAGGGGTGCTGATAAGAGCAGACACCACTAGCATGCTCGAGGAGGCTCCATCTATTGGTGGGGAGCGACACCTGCTGGAAATCGGGCCCAGCATCCCTCAACAATCATAATCAGGTGTTCCATATTCCACCCGAATTCATGTCAATATGCCACGTGTCCATCCTACAAAATGCGTACGTAATCAACCGAAGCCACATGCTGGCACACTTCTATCATCTGATGAGCAGCATTGATTGCCCTCAAACAAGGGGATTAACTGCTCATCATGGTTAAAGCAAGACTCCTATTCTGAAACCCTCATCGTCCGCTTAACAAAATGTTCGCAGCACGGTGAAAGGAAGAGGTAACCAGAATAGGAAGTTAGATGAACTTATTGTGGGTGATTCCGAAATCATCACGAGGTTAGCTCTCACAACTTATCCGGAAATCACCATATCCCCCCACGATCCCCCCACGATCTTCATGATCATTGGTTTACGTCACAAAGAGGATGGGCCCTCAAATCGAGGAGCAAGATTCCATTCTAACGAGAGATCATCTTCCAACTTTGAAACCCACATCAGGAACTAACAAGCTCTTACACAGTATGAGAGGGAAGGGGTATTCGAAGAGGGGATGTACAGTTTACCATTTCGAAATTCTCTATTGCCTCAGTGCGGGGAAACAGAGGACCGGCGATGAAAGTAGCACCACAAATTCCCCACTGAACCAAAAAATCCCACGGTCGTACCTTACCTGCGACGTGCGTAATCCCAAGTTTCACAAAACGCTTTAGGTAACGTAACTCAACCAGTTGGATCAAGCAAAACACGAACCAGCCCCCTACGAACCAACCCCCCTGCTCATATGCAAAATCGATGGAACTTTATTCAGATTCTAAACCGAAATCGCACTATCACACAGCAGAGCAGCAATCAATCCCTCCATCGCACCTTTTCAGCTACATGACAAAACCATCATTGTAAAAAGCCGCAAAAAGGGTCCAGATCACGAGTAACACTCAAAAAAGAACGACAAAAGCATGCTCCCGCTGTCATGCGTACCCCGCGGCGCCGCTCCAATCATCCACCACCCTTTCTCTCTCCCACCCCTCCCTCCGTAAAAACTCTACCCCACCCTACAACCCTCCCCTCTGGCCCCACCCGGATCCCATGAGAGAAGCGGTATGCTATTCCGCATAGTCGGGGAGCCCCAAATCATCATAAGCATGCCCAAAGGCGACCCCACCCCCACAAGCTCGCCTTTCCCAAATACAGCAAAGGTCATACCCCCGTCAAATTCGATATTATCACCTTCATTGCTAACACCCCGGCTGTCTTGGAAACACGCACGAAGCTCACCTTCTTCGCTGGTGTTATAGTGGTTGTTGGTGTTGTTGTTGTTGCTGTAATTGTTATCACTGGTATTGTTGTCGTTGCCACCAGCGCTGAAATTGTCATCACTATTTTGCTTGTTGTTGACGACACCAGCGGAAGCGACGTCATCAGAACAACGATACTCGCTGCTTTTGTTATTGTTGTTGTTGTTGTTATTGTCGTTGTTGTTGTTGTTGTAAAGGACAGCACCGCGAATGAAATCACCGATGTCTTTGCTGTCATCAATGTTGTTGGCAAGGACGGTAGTGCAAGTAAGATCGCCGTTGTCCATACTATCTATGTCGACGGCGTCATCAGCAACGGAGTTCATGTCATCCTCGTAGCAGCAGTTCTCCAGTTCAGCACAAAGATCTAGCCCCTCCTCAAGATCTTCGTAGTAGTTCCGCATCAAACTGCCCAATCGTGGTCCATCTATGAGCGCACGAAGATGAGGGGTCGGCCCCTTCTCCAACCCCCACGCAGTCTCCAATAACTGCTCCCGCACACTCCGAATCCATGGAATTGATGGCACTGTCGTTTCTGCAGCCACCGCTTTCAACTTCGCCACTTCATAGCACAACCGTTCTCTGCTCACTTGGACGATGGTAAACCACTCATTGGCTTCTAACTCGCCCAAACTCGCCATCGAAGATATCAGAAGCTGCCACCACTATCACAATCTATCGACAATTCCACAGCTGGCGTCACCCCTGCCCGTGCGTTGCGGAACACCCAATTCCAACAGCGGTCGCCACGTGGTAAGTTGGTAACCAAGCCGCCACCCACGTCTGCTGGGCGCACGTGCAGGCCTAACAGCCAAAGGGCTCCCCCCCCCCCGGCGCTAGTCAAGCCCGCAGACAGAGCCTTGCCGGTCTGGCCGCATCGGAGCGCCAGCGGTAGTGGCTCCGATATCAAGTCTCAGCAGCATTCCCGCATGGCGCAGGGTCTCCATTTTTTTTTTTTTTTTTTTTTTTTTTTTTTT